ATATATATACAGGAACAAGTAAGAGGTTTATTCCCTGCTGAAGAGAGAAGAAAGAAAACACAACGTTTCGGCCGTGGAGCCTTCTTCAGGTGTGAGTATATACGTAGCTAAACAGTATATATTAAGGCACACCTGTGCTCACACCTGAAAGAGGCTCCACGGCCGAAACGTTGTGTTTTCTCTCTTCTCTCTTCAGCAGGGAATAAACCTCTTACTTGTTCCTGTATTAAGGTTAGACGAGGCAATCAAACTTCGGGCTAGACGGCCTGGTGTCTGTCCGGTGGGGGACTGGGTCGGGCTGGACGCTGCCTGGGGTGCCGGGGTAGTGTGGGCTGGACCAGGGGGAGGGCAGTCGCCGGTCAATGGATAACCAGGGTTATCGGAAACAAGAGTGACGGACCAGCATTCCCGTCCTGTCTTGGCATCAGTGTGAGTGAGTTCCCGTCCGGGCGAGGGGCGGCTGTGTCAAATTTAAAATAAAAAAAACACACACACACACGCACACACACTTTTGAACGCCGGCTCTGCCTTCCGGGGGGGGTGGGGTGTGTCACCCACTCCATCTTCCCTGCGTCAGTCGTCAAGCCGTTGACCAGCGAACAAGTTTTACAGTCGCGAAAGATTATTTAAAAAAAAAAAACAACACGTCTCTGGACACGGCGCTCCGGAGCGTCACGGTGAGAAACCCCAGGCGAGAGCCCTGGAGATCGGGTACCGCCTCCGGGCACTTCTGATTGGCCCCGGGCTTCCAGTGCCCTCCCGGGATTGGGCGGCGTGCCTGTCCGTCCGGCTGGGCTCCTCCCCCCCGCGGTCCTGCCCAGAGTTTAGTCTGGTACAATTAACCCACAGTAGCGGAATTCTCCGAGCAGCCCTGGGGGAGCGCATCTGAAAACCGAGGAAATATCTGCACCAATCCCGCTCCTTTCTCATGACAAAGGCCCCCCTACACACTCCAGCCCCCGAGGACCACGTTTTCGGGACTTGGCTTCTTCGTTTCCAGGTAAGCCTGGGGTTTTTTTTGGGGGGGACGTTTTCAGAGGACGTGCGAAAGTTTCCAGCCCCGAGGTACCGTTTCACCCGCCCGCCCGTCCTCGCAGGAGAGCTGTCCCCTCATCCCGTTCGCTCCTGACTTTCGCCCTTCTTGGGAATGTGTTTCTGGTAGGCAGGTAGCCGGCAGAAGGTTAAAGTTTCTAATTTAAACAACAACAACAAAAATAAATGCTAGGAAAGATCCCGAAAGGAACGCGCTCCGCTCGCCAGCAGCTCCTGCAGAGAGACGGGACCCCAGCCCTGGCCAGCTCCGAGCTCCGTCCCGGGACGCGGTCGGCGCAGAGCTGTTTGCTGCGCGTCCAGGTTTTTTTGGGAGCCCCGGGAGGAGCGCGCGTGAAGTCAAGATGACTCCAGGCTGTCGGGGATGCGGTCAGCTCTCGGGCAGTCCGTCGCGCCGGGGCCGGGCCGGGCAGCCTGTAATTTCTCTCTTGGCCAAAGCCCGTGCGAGCGGGGCAGGAGAGCGGGGGGGGTGCTCCGGGGCTGGGCTGGGCTCGGCTCGGCCGCTGCGATTCTCAGGGGTGCGACTTCCTGGCGCGTTCAGGGGTACCGAGAGCTTCAGCGCGTGGCTCCCAGTCTCGGGCACGGCCGGGGACCGTGCACGTGCCCATTACCTACCCCCCCCCCACAGCCACCCCACCCCCCTGCCGAGCTCGGACCCGCGTCTCCGAGACCCGGCGCGGAAAAGACGCACGAGTGATTGATTGGGCTGGAGCCCACTGGAGGCCGGAGCTGGTGAAACTGGGGAGTGAGTTTTCAGTATTTACCCCCCTCCACCGCGTCCCAGCAGAGCTACTCCAGTCTCCAGTGGGACCAGTCCGCCTCTCTCTCTCACCCGCCTCACTAGCGCTCGCTAGATCCCCTCCTCTCTGACTCCGCCTGCTGTAGCTGTTACTCAACACAGCCACTCCAGTGACCCTTCAACCCAGGACAGCGCTGTTCGGCCCCAGACAGAGACAGCCTGATCAGCCCCCAGCCCGGGGATCAATCAGACTGATTAGGGATCAATCAGCCCCTATCCACATGA